GATGGTATTTTATTTAACTTTTAGGGTTATTATCCAAAAATTTCTTTTTTCTCTAATTTTATATCTAAATGTTATTTACTAATTAAATTTAAGTCGAAGTCAAAAATTAATTTTGACCACACATTTCATAGTACACACACTTTTTCAATTACACATTATATTAACTTTTATCAAAATCTATTAAAAATTTGATTTTTATCTAAACCAAACAGATGCTAAATATAGACAATAAACTGATAAAAATATTAATTCTAAATTAATTTGATTCTTTAATTATTCGTTTTTAGTGTCAACAAATAATTCTACCATGAGTCGAGAGTCCTGCTTCATGGATTTGTATGTTTCCTTTTGTTCTTAGATACACTTAGGATCTGTTTGAGAGCAATTTATTAAGAAATAAGTTGTTGAAAATAGTGAGGTTGTGGAATTGTACCTGTTTGTAGGTGCAAGTCTGTCTAACAAAGGGTTGAAGGACATTTTTGGCACTGTGATGGTCCCACTCCAATGATTCCCACCATCCTCCTTTCAAGCTGCGCACATCGATTGATGTAAGACATGGGGGAGGAGATAGTTGTCCATGGAGAAGCGGTAAATTTAAAGGGAATTTCTTTATATTTTCTATGCGCACCAAAAGAATTTTCTCAATGGAATCACAAATCATCTTTCCCTTGCAGATGCTATTTAGTTGTAGCAGATTCTCCAGACACAATACCTTTAACATTGGCAATGTGATATCAGCTCCTTCATTATTGTCATCTTCTATTATCTCCTCCATTTGTAGACAGTCTTCGAGAAACAATAATTCGAGGTTACGGAAATTATGTACCAAACTCTGAGGGAAAAGTTTTCTTCAATGGAATCGCAAATCATCTTTCCTTTGCAGATGCTCTTTACTTGTGGCAGATGCCTCAGAGTCAATTTCTTTAACATTGGCAATGTGATATCAGCTCCTTCATTATTGTCATCTTCTATTATCTCCTCCATTTGATCACACCAATAGACATGTAATGATTGGAGGTAATAGAAATTATGTACTGAACTCTGAGGGAACAGCTTCTCCATTTTACCACAATAGCCAATAGTCAAACTTTTGAGCGAGGAAAATGTGCCAGGTGGAAGAGGTACAACTGCTTCCCACTTGAAGAGACCAATTAAATTTGGCAACCAACGCAGTTCCAACTTTTCAAGGCTTTGGAATGGGACCCCAGTACTACTAGACTGTTGTTCGTCCTCTAACATTGACAATGCGATATCAGCTCCTTCATTGTTGTCATCTCCTATTATCTCCTCCATTTGATAACACCTAGAGACAGATAAATATTGGAGGTTATGGAAATTATGTACCAAACTCTGAGGGAAAAGCTTCTTGATTTTATCACACCTTTTAATCTCCAACTTCCTGAGAGAGGAAAATGTGCCAGGTGGAAGAGGTGCAACTGCTTCCCACTTGAAGAGACCAATTAAATTTGGCAAGTCACACAGTTGCAACCTTTCAAGGCTTTGGAATGGGACCCCAGTACTAGACCTCATAATGCACTCTATTTTATCCTCGCCATGTATATGGCATTCTTTTAAATCTCTATCATAATTTAAACTTGGAAATTCATCTAATAAGCAACCACTCAAGCCACTAGTTTCGAACAGTAAACTCTCGACATCTCGTGGCAGCATATTCTCATCCGTGTCTAAAGAGGATTCCATGAGACTGTCCTTTCCAAAGCTTATATATTTATTTCGTAAATTGGGCCTATCTAACCTTTCTCTAAAAATATATGATGAGCATTCAGTACCTATACAAATATTGTAGAAAAGCTTGTCAATTTGTTTTGAGTTGATGAACCGATTCAAATCACGTGCGCTATTTAACCTGCCTTCAAATGCTTCCAACTGTTTCAATGCCTCAACATCTTCTATTGGTGCATCTAAATTATATGGCAACTTGAGTTGCTGAAGATGTGTGAGTCTATGCAAAGTCCCCGTCGGTATCATCTTTAAGCGACTACAAAACAAGCTTAAGTGTTTGAGGTTGGTTAAGCTTTCCATACCTTGGGGTACTTTTACAATAGCAGTACGTTCGAGGTCCAAATGTCTCAATTCCTTGAGCTTTTCCAATGATGGCACTGATACCAGATCCGAACACTTTTTGAGCAATAATGCATCAAGTTTCTCCAAGTCTGATATGGACTTCGGCAAGTACCCAATCCGAGTTTCACTTAAATTGAGAGTGCGTAACCCACACATATGCTTAAAGAAACATTCTGGAATCGACCGCAGAGGATTGGCCATCAAGATCAAGGTGGAAAGACTTGGACACTTGGGTGAAGTGCCAGATGAAATTTCCTCTATATTGTTGAACATCAAGGAAACCTTATCCAAATCCTCTGTCCACTCTCGCTCCTCTGGTAATTCCTCTAATTGAAGTCCAGCTTTTACCATGTACCTCGGGTTATCTTGAGTGATCCATATTGCCATGTCTCTGATTAAATCATGCATCTTTAAATGTCTATCTGAATCACTTTCCAATAAGCAGGCTCTCTCCAATTGATTTAGTATTGCATGACCCTGGTCGACCTTTTCTTGCATGCTTAATCTTCTCCCCATCAGCTCTTCTGAAATGAAATATCCAATCAATTCTGCTTTTGGAATAAGACAATCTTCAGGATACAAGGAGCAGTACAAAAAACAACTTTTTAGCTTTGGATCTCTCAACCGATGATAACTATACAAGAGAATTGGCAAAACCTCATTTTCAATGTCGTCTCGTCCCAAACGTGATTCTTCAAGTCCTTTTAATGCATCTCTCCATTCACGAATGTCAGTCACGCTTTTCACGCTTCCAGCCAATGTGATGAGNTCAAAGCTTCAGGCTTGGGAAGTGTGTTCACTTTGATAATCTTCTTGCAGCTCATACGTCGACAAATATCTTCTGATCGACTTGTTATGACCAACTTGCATCCATCCCCTTCTAAAGGAATTCCTATCTTCTCTGCGTTAATCCATTGCCAAACATCATCCAGTATAAGTACGAATCTCTCCCTTTTCTTGAATGCCTGGAACAGTTGAGCTGCCCTTTTCGTCTCATCACTGCCACATGAAAAATGTAGATTCAATGCTTGGGCAATGTCACTTTGCAATTTGTCAATGTTGAACTCTTGAGAGACGGTGAACCAATAAACATGACCCGAGAATGTGGATTCTTTGAGCTTATCATGGACACGCTTTGCCAGAGTCGTTTTGCCTACTCCCCCCATTCCATAAATGCCAATGCTTGTGCTTTTGACTTTGACATCCATTAATGACTTACAAATGTCATCTAAATTTCGTTGAAATGCTTGGTCAATTGGTTCGTGTGTTAACAATAACTGGTCAATACTCTCATCAATCTCAAGAAAAAGCCCGCTAGGAAAATCACTTCGTTCAACAAGTTCCGTCGCTTCCTTATGCATTCTTTCAAGCTGTTCAGCCAACACTTGTCGTTTGAAAACATGATAAATACTTCTGCTTTGTTGTACTCGTTGTTCCAAGGTTTCAAACTCTTTTATAATGTTTTCAACATTGTTCCTCCAGTCTTCAACCTCACTCTTGCGTTTTTTCCCAGAATGACATGCTGCATTTTGTAATTTTTCATCCATATCACCTTTTCGACTTTTCAGTAATTCTATTTTTCTTTGAAGAGTATATGTATTGTCCTCCACGTCTGGGAATATCGATGTAAGCTGCTTATCCATGTGGCTTCCTGCAAATATCATTCAATATTGTAATGTACAGTCAAAATACCAACGGAACACTATAGATATTACTTTGAGAAATATTAATTCGGAACCCTTCATTTTGTACAATCTCGATCAAGAAAATTTCAAATCATTCAAAACATGTGAACTTTTACAGAAACTTAAATTAAGAGATAATTCACCTTTTAAATTTAAAAAACTAGTCGAGGTTCCTATCCTCCCACACAAAAGACGACATGTTATATCAAAATTAATGCAAAAGAAAATTACAAAATCCTTATTTATCCCCTAACAAATTGTAGCAATTTGATGTTGAGAAAAATAGATACTGTACTCAACTGGCCGTTTTGAACATGAGACCAAATTTCCTCCTATCACTCAAAACGCTTCGAGAAGGTGCGAGATTGATTCATTTATTAATAATTATTTAATCAGAACAATCAATGAAAAACATTTAACGATCATAGAAAGAGGTCAAGATTACATATTATATTTACCTTTGAATCGAATAATCTTGAAAATCCTGAAAACAAACCAGCCAAGGAGCAAAGATGAATGAATAGTGGGAGAAAACTGTAGCGAGTGAAGTTGTATAACTTTCTTTTAGTACGACATCGACTGACGTTTACCTTCAACGAAAATTCAATTATTGAGGGCCCCATCAAGTCAGGAAAGCACTGAGCAGTATCAATGCAATTATTGTACCAAGGATTAAACTGAATATCTCTAATCTAATTATATTTTTATTTTTTTCACTGAAATAAGAACATTTTCAAGAGACTCTCTATTTTTAAAGCACATATTCTATCATTTGAAAAAATCTATAAATTTAAAAAGTTAAAATTTTGAAGTACTACACAAGTTCTTTATATTCAACACTTAATTTTACTACTCCCAAAAAATATTTATTATTTTTATTTATCTTTTATTTTAACTAGCTCTTTTTTAGATTATTTTATTGTTTTCCTACATTGAAAATTGAAATACTTTGAATGCNTTTCCTACATTGAAAATTGGAACACTTTGAATGCATTTAATTATAGAGAGTGTCTCTAAATTAAAATGTTAATTTAAAAAATCTCTTAAAATATGATTTTAAATGTCGACTCTTTAAAATAGAGAGTATATCATGTTTAAAGAGTATCTTAGAGATATTCTAAGCACTAGGAAATAGTTATATTCCGCTATGAATAGTACTGGAAATTATTTGGGCAGATGATTTTTGTTAATTTGATCTACAATGCAGTTTAACCATCAAATAGTTGATATGTATTAAGCTAATAAATTAATGGACCGAGCTGCTGTGCCAGGTCGGTAAAAGACCTGGCACAGCCATGTGAGATGGGGTGGGTGGGTGTTTTAACATTTTTGGGGGGTTTTTTTAATGAGTTAGGTTCTCGGGATCCACCTCATGTGAGATAGTCTGTACAAAATCTGTGAACCAAAATCTGATAGAGTAGAATAATTCTAAATTAATAATGTACTAATGGAATTTGACATTGAGTAGTCCATCCTTATATGTCCAAGATGGATAGTATTAATAATTATTTAAGCAGAATAATCTGTGAAAACAGTCAACGAAAATAAAATAATAATATAATTATATGAATGAGGTGAAACCCAAACAAAAGGAGATCAATATTACATATATATATATACACCTTAAATCATAATCTTGAAAATTCCGAAATAAACAGGGTAGGGAGGAAAGAAGAATGAATATCCATTATGAAGTGGGAGAAAGTTATAGGGAGTAGCGTGTGGGTTGTCAAAGAACGTGAGTCTACCCCCCAAGGACAATGCACATCAAGATAGGACCACTTGCCCATAATATTTTTTGAAAAAGGCTTGTTGTACAGCCTTTTTGTACAGTGAATTACACAGTCCACACACATGGGGTGGGGCCCACATTTTCTCAGTACTTTCCTATTCATTTTAACAAAGAAAGAATGTAGATACCCCTTATTCAGGCAACGGTGTAACAAATTCATAAAGAAGCTCAACTGCATATTAACCTCTAATTTAAAAACTTAAGCAATCTACATAAATTAATATTTTGAAGATGGAAACAGAAGACTGTAAAAGACATAAGAAATATAAGTCTAAGAATGAGTAAACATTTATAAAAACAAGTGAGTGAGTTTTAAATATACCTTGAACAATTCAAATAAGAGGTTGATGTGTAACTTTCAATATTTACTCCTATTTATGATTCCTTGATAATAAAATGAGTGGTTTTTAAATATATCTTGAACAATTCTATTTAAAGTTGATCATATTTTGACTTGCTTCCACTTTCATTTTTTTTGAAGTGGGTGGGGGGTGAGTTGGGTTTGGGAGTTTCATGAAGTCGCACACCATGATTATAGGATGTCAATCTTCACCGGCCAATGGCCATAAAGAAAAGAAAAGTTTAAATATAATATAGAAGAAAGAAGTAGAAAAAGGAAAGAAAATAGAGTTATTAACCAAGGCATTAAGGTTAAAGTAGAATTAAATTCTGAAGACCAATCAGCAGTGAGATAACTTACTGGGGTTACAAGGTAACCAGATATTAGCTTATTGGGGTCACTGGGTAACCGATATTTTTTTTCACTCTCAATTTATAAAAACTGCCACTTCATCTAATGATGTCAAAGATTGTGGAGTCTGGACATTTTATATAGATATTTTTGCAATGGTCACCACTAATTCCTGGAAATTTGCATAATCAAGGATTATCTTCAATGCATCTCTACATGATTGATGGATAATGAATCAAATGCTTAGTGATTATGAGAAGCACTTGCTCTGTATGACCAAGGCAAAAGCTCTGTATTTCATGAGCTCCAGTTACTGGATTCTTTGGGGATACAGTAACCAGTAGCAAAGACAATAAGGTAATCCCTCCACTAAAAAGATAAAGCATACCATAAAATGGACACTGATGTTCTCTTACACGAATGTTAAAGTCTCGACCAGCACCAACAATGAATCGTCCATCTAGTAAAAATTCATGTAAGAGACACCGTCCGTGTCTCCATCTCGCACGGAGACACAGTCCGTGTCTCCGTTACGGAGACATTGACGATTCTCGAGGCCAGAGGTTGCATAGAGACATGGGCCAATTTTTTTTTTTATATCATACACATCAGATGTATTGTAAATGGCCTGATTCCATCTATTTGCTATAATCACAAAAATTTCATTTCAAATTCCAGTCATGACTCAAACTTTAACCCAAGTTTATAAAATGAAAACTGAAAACTAAAGATGCAACTAAAACTCAAGCTGATTGAAGCCATATAAAACAATAATGCATAGAAGATCGATGAACATTATCTAACAACTGATAAATTTTACGGATAGAATATATATGTCCTGCTCTCAAAAATTAAAATAAAAGACAACCATCTATTACTTGACAAGAAGTGGAGGTAAATGAACTCTTTTACTCGTTGTTTTACCATTACACTTGTTAAATTTATCCATAGAAGATCAACACATACCGATAAAATTCAATTTCAACAATCACCAATTAAATTAACTAAAAATCCAAAAATACGTAGTTAAATTGAGTTTAAGAAAGGTAATAGATTGATGGTAATAGAAAATACCTTCACAACAAAAAATTGGCATTAAAATGTCTTATTTCAATCATTATTTTGAGCAATCTCTTTCTGAATCTCAGACGTCAGACAATGAAAACTTCGAATCCTACAAAAACAAGGTTGGTTGACAAAATTAGAGCATCATATAGAGAGAAGAACGTAGGGAGAAAAACGGAACCATAAGAACCTAGGACCCGAAAATATAATTTAAACTTGAGGTGTATTCCAACTGCACGAGTTTGCCAAATTTTTCTAGGAGCAAATTTTTTTGACATCATTAGCCTTGCAAATGGAAATGAATGAGAAGTTTGCAATGAGAGGTTGCGTGGGAAAATGAAGGAGGAGTGGGTGGTTGCGTGAGATAATTGAGAAGCACGAATGGTGGTATGGAAAATTTTGACGAATTTCAGGGAATTAAAAAAAAAAGGGTGGGGGGATTTTTTACGACTATTGGAAATAAAGACACGTGTCCACCTTTACTTTGACTCTTTTAATATGTAGTGATTACGTGTCTAAAATTAGATATTATAACGAGGAAATTATATTGTATTCACACAAAAGATTTTATCTATTGAAATGTATATTTAAAATTTTGACTTTTTTTTTTTTAAATTTGTAATACTTCTCTCCTCAACTTTTTTATAACATTATTATCGGTACCTTCTTATCGCATATCTCGTTATAGTTCTTAATCCAAAATATTCATTAGAGGTGTAAAACAACTAATTTACCAACCACGTATTTAAAAATCAATGAATACGAAAGTGCAACATAATACTTTCTCCAAGTTTAAAGCACTCAAATGGATTATTTTGAAATAAATTTTCATCAATATCGAGATGTGCTAATTTATAAAATATTAAAATAGACGTAAAAATAAAGAATTTATTGTTCAGTGTTTGATCAATATTTGAAATTCTGAGATTGAAGCCGATAAAAAATGAGTTTTTAACTGTGTTGGAAAAATAGATGAAAAAAGTTTACTAATTTTGAAATTTTACGTAGAAAGTGTTTGACTTTTACTTATTAATTAAAATGGTAGTATTGTCTTTTAGTTAAAAATAATTTTTTGTAATTGTATTTACAATTCAAAAGCCATTGTAAAAATATGTCATTGTTAAAAAATTAAAGTGGAAATACGGAGGTTTGATCATGCCATTTTTTAAAGTACTCTGGTTGAGGGGTGTGACATTTCAGAAATATTGGGGACAAAAAATTGCAAAAAAACACCCTAAAAATATTTAAAATTACATTATCCAAACATGACACATGTTTGGATTCCGAAAGTCCCTTGAAATTTTTTCAACTTTGTTTTTGTGTTGAAGCTCTGCCAGCTGAAAGTCAAAGAGGCATTTTATCGAAATTCCTGTGCGTGGTATTGGAAGGCCAAACTGCGGCTTTGGAAAGAGTAATCGCGAAATCAAAGGCAGATCGTAGAATGTCTAGCGCCGGTCAGGATGAAGACAAGAAGCCCGGCGATTCTTCATCGCACATCAATGTAAAAGTCAAGGGCCAGGTCTTGATCTTTCTTAAACTTTTTCCTTTTTGACGTTTTATCTTGGTTTGTTTAATTACCAACGCTGACGTGTTTCTGATAGTTTTTTTTTTTTGATTGTGTTCTAGGGTTTTAGATTATCCATTTTTAGGGTTTTGCTTTGTGTCTTTATGGTACACTATTTATTTATTGGAGATATTTTTTTATTGCCCAATTATAAAGAAATTTGTCATCTGAGGACAAATGATGGTGTGGAAAAAGTAAAGAAGTTTTCGTTTTGAATTTCCTTTTTTGGTAAAAAAACATACTGTAAAAGTCCATAACCCAAGATGCTGTTTCTCAAGCTTTTCTCATGCTTTGACATTTTATGGAGACACCGAAGTTGAGAAATGAGTTTATGGAGTTCTATGAAGCACATAGGCCCCTACTAGGGTGGCGGTCACCCAAAATTCTAAATACACTAAGATATATCTGACACGCAGTGTGCTGTGTTCTATTTCTCGAAAGATAGTCACTCATCTGGATTGAAAGATTTTCCCCTACAAAATAAAAACTGAAAGAAGAATATATATTATCACAAATTAAAAAGTACAAAATTAACAACATGATATATAAATGTACAATTTTAAAGAGTTAAAATTAATGCGTCCATGTCCTACTTTTCTTGAAAATCATGTGTCCGCTTGTTCACGTTGTGTGTCCATATCGTGCATTGTGTCCATGTCATATGTTCGTGTCTGTGCTTATTAGATAGAGTTTGATAAAGATTGACATGCTCTATGTACATCGAGAAGAAATACGAGACAACTTAAGAAAGTGAGATGAAAAGACTAAGCCCCTATTTGATATTACCGAAAATTAGATTTTTAATAGATTTTGATAAAAGTTATAAAATGTCAAATGTGTGATATGGGACTTTTCCCTCTTTAATTAGACTAGAATAAAGGAGTGGTGAAATCCAAACCAAATGGGCGCTAAATCATCTATGAATTCCTTAACTCTCATTGAGTTGACCCTATTTTTCCATTAGCTATCAAATTGTGATTTGTGTTGGTGACATGAGCGCATAACCCATGAACTTGTCGGGGTTGAGTTAAGTTCAAGTTCACTTTGTATTTTTTTAGATTAGATGGAGGAGTTCGAGATATCTTACTCTCCAACAAAACTAATTTACAGGTCATCAACCAATGTTCTCTATGCTTTATCCTTTAATATTTCGATGGTGCTGTTACTGTTTGTCCAACAAACTTTTACTCGAATAGTTTTGTGGTTAGTGTTATTGTATTCAAGCTGCTTGAATTCCTTTTCTGGTGCTGGATACATCCTGCATTCTTAGTGATGATCTTACTACTGTAAAGACATTTACTCTAAATTTTGCTAAAATAAGTCATTTAATTTTTTGCGAGGAAATGAATATCTGTTAAATAGTATTTTGATTATTGTATTTGTTATTCAAGCTGTTTGAATTCTTTTTCTGGCGCTGGATAAGTCCTGAATTCTTAGTGAACGTATAGGTCATTCAGTTTTTCGTGAGTAAATGAATCTGTATTTTCAGCAGTAGACATGTCGATATTTCTTTATGCAACTGCTCATTATATAGGATGGGAATGAAGTCTTCTTTAGGATCAAGAAAGGCTCCCAACTAAAGAAGCTCATGACTACTTATTGTGATCGGCAATCAGTGGATTTGAACGCAATTGCATTTCTGTTTGATGGCCGCCGTCTCCGAGCAGAGCAAACTCCTGATGAGGTCTTCTTTCCATTTCATATTTCTTGCTCTCTATAATCTAAAGAAAAAGGTTTAACTACTGAATTTATTCTTTACAGCTGGAAATGGAGGATGGCGATGAGATTGATGCTATGCTGCACCAGACTGGAGGCTCTGCTGCTGCTTAGTTAGTTAGTTAGCGATGAATGTTAAGCCATGTCGAATTGTTAGAAAAGTCTTTGTTTTATTACTAGTCTATTGGTCTTGAGAATCCTACTTTCTGCTGTTTCTCTGTGTCCAAACTTGCCATGAATGTTTTGTGTTGGCTTCAATAGATATTTGACAAATTTGAAGTGGAAGAGACAATGCTTAATCACCCAGCAAAGTTTTGTCATCGCTGCTACGTTCTGCAAGGGTTGTCTTATGTTGTTAACACCGATGGAACATTTATGTATTCTCCAACCCAATTAGTATTGTTGTATAAGATTGCTTTTGCCATTGAGAAGCTGTGCTTTGGATTGTTCGGGTGGTTTATTACCCGTGAGTTAAAAGTCGTTGACGTCAATTACAGCCAATGCGCCATAGGATGAAAACATGTCAAATTGAATCAAAATCGTGGTTTTGAAGCCGTTGGTTTGATTTCACATGGTTTAGTTTCGATAGTTAAAAATAGCTTGAAATTAAAATCGAATCATTTATATAATTTTTAAATAAATTACTTGTTTTATTCAAGATATATTATTTTCTTGATCAATTTATATTTCAACATATTTATGGGATAGTTGACTTCTATTAGCTTTTTACGAAAATAAAGAATTTTTATTATAATATTTTTCTTATCTAAGGAATTATGAGCTTAATTTTTATGGCTGAAATGTTTGCTCTCCAATGGTCACCAGTTCGAATCCCCTCAGGTCACTGGGGTGAGTATCCGGCCGTAAATTTCAAGGTCTCGTAGGATTTATCGAGGTGCGCGCAAACTGATTCGAACATCCACGATTATAAAAAAGAAAAAAAATTATGGCTGAAATTGTATTAATTTGTTGGTTTAGACTTGTACTGAGACAAATAATTCATTATGCAATACCGATATATGCATATCGATATAGGAATAAAGAACTCACATTACAAAACACGATTTAGGCTGAGACACCGGAGTTGCCCAGCATAAAATTAAAAAATTTCTACTCATATTGTAGACAATAAATTGGACAACCAGGCTAAGTAGGTGTTCTAATTTTGCATACCAAACGAATAGTTAGTATTCTAATCTATTTGATTAAGATGAGATTTCTGTATTTTTACTTTGTATAACTGAATTCCCTGCATTCATATTCATCATCATCATGTGAATGTGCCTTTTTAGTGTTATTACACTTATAATGACACACATTAGAAGTGGTGAGTCGACAATCCATATCATAATCAGATACTATAACGACAATAATAAAGTCTTATGGAGTTATGTCTAACTTTTGCACCTTCAAGTTACTCGTAAACATTGTTCAAGTATGAGGCCCAATTTTTTTCTCATGAAAGACTTGGCCGAACCTCGACCAATACAACAATAGGAGAAGTCGGACCTACTGCATAAAAAAGCCAACACAACACCGAGTTGCTAAATGTTAGTACAAGACGTTAAAAGCGTAGAATTCGAACACTGCAATATGACTTTACACCTAAGAATTGAAAAACGCGACACAAGGTGTCAACCAAACAAGATAGTATGGTACTTAGCAGAATTTTAACAGACGTGACAACCCATTCATTTAATGGCAGATGAAGATTTACTAAAGAAAATTGCTCATTTATTATCTCATGCATTGCGAGTCATGGTAAAGTACTCATATTCACATGCTTTGCATGTATATAAAGGGAAGAGAGAGCCACAAGAAAGAAATAACAACGTTACAACGACAATGGGAGAGAGAATGAAATGTCTTCCACATTTGATAAGTCTATTTTCCCTCTTCACTTGCCTGCCTTTATCTCAATCTTTCAACTATGGAGAAGCTCTTTCCAAGAGCCTCCTCTACTTCGAAGCGCAACGTTCCGGCCATCTGCCGTACAACCAAAGAGTCACTTGGCGCCACCATTCGGCCCTCACCGATGGCCTAGAACTAGGGGTCAGACAGTACACCACATTTCTTCCCTTTTGAGATTCCTGCTTCGAAGTATCATAATTAAGATTTTTACTGTGTTTTTCCTATAGGTGGACTTAGTGGGAGGTTACTATGATGCTGGTGACAATGTGAAATTTGGTCTTCCAATGGCCTTTACCATTACAATGCTTTCATGGGGTGTCATTGAATACCAGGATCAGATAGCTTCGGCAGGAGAATATCGCCATGCCCTTGAAGCCATCAAGTGGGGAACTGATTATTTCATCAAAATACACACTCATACTCATGTCCTGTGGGCTCAGGTATGCATTACTCAAGATCGATTGACTAATGCTATCTATTTAGACTGCCGAGTATCATATTAATGATATTTTGTGCAGGTGGGCGATGGAGACACTGATCACTACTGTTGGCAACGACCGGAGGACATGACGACATCCCGACTTGCTTATAAGATCGACGAGGATCATCCTGGGTCAGATGTTGTCGGAGAGACGGCTGCAGCCATGGCAGCAGCTTCAATTGTGTTTAGGAGAACAAACCCACATTACTCTCACCTTCTCTTGGACCACGCGCTACAGGTAAGTTAGTTAATGAGGTTGTTAGAGGGATAGACAAGGTAGGTCATTCCCAAATTTAACAAGGATTAATTTAGTCAGGCTGGCTATTTGCACCAAAACAAAAAAATTAAATAATTGGGTTAGATTGTAAGATGATCAAACTTAATACAATTATAGTAACCCGATAAATATAGTTCATATTTGATGAGGCAATGGCAAAAACTCTCTTCTTTAATCCAATCTACCTAACATACTAAACGTGTCAATGATGTACCATCTGTTTGTGCAGTTGTTTGAGTTTGGTGACAAGTTTAGAGGGAAATATGATACAAGTATGGGAGTAGCAAAGGCCTATTACCCTTCAGTGAGTGGTTATATGGATGAATTATTGTGGGCAGCTTTGTGGCTATACAAGGCCACCGACAGGGTTTATTATTTGAATTATGCAATTGAGAATGCTCATTCTTTTGGTGGGATCACTTGGGCCATGCAAGAGTTCAGCTGGGATGTTAAGTATGCTGGTGTTCAAATTTTTGCTGCAATGGTAAATTTTTCACATCTTCTACAAAGTAGGTCATCTTCAGCTCATCTAATGGAATTGAAAAGAGAACGCAAAGAACAAAAGCAAATTCTCCTGCAATACCGATCGAAAGCAGAGCATTACATCTGTGCTTGCCTGAACAAAAACAATTCGACAAACGTGAATCACACCCCAGGTGGGCTCTTGTACACCCGACAATGGAACAACATGCAGTATGTTTCGAGTGCAGCATTTTTACTCACAGTCTACTCTGATTATCTCCAAACCACCAATCAGATGCTCAACTGCCAAGGAGATTTAGTGGGTTCCAATGAGATCCTGTCCTTCGTAAAATCACAAATAGCCTACATTTTGGGATCTAATCCTATGGGAATGAGTTATTTGGTTGGTTATGGACCTAACTACCCCAAGAGAGTGCACCATAGGGGTGCATCCATAGAATCGTACAAAGATAGCAAGGGATTTGTGGGGTGCACACAGGGATATGATAACTGGTATGGACGACGAGATCCAAACCCGAATGTGCTTGTTGGAGCATTGGTTGGGGGACCAGATGGTAAGGATGAGTTCAGGGATAACAGGGAAAATTTCATGCAGACAGAGTCCTGCACATATAATACCGCCCCACTGGTTGGGGTCTTTGCCAAATTATATGCATTAGAAAAGGCTACTTCTGATAGTTTACCATTGATTTCTTTCATTTGAATGTAAAGAAATTTCTTTTTTGGTTGGGGAGGGTCGGGGTGGTGTTGCAACCAAACAAGGCGCTACATTCTACATGGAAGAGAGAAGTTTTCCTGCATTATTCTTGAACCTGAATTATTTTTGTACGTGCATTTAATGATGAATTACGAGAAGTTGGAACTTATCCCCACCCACCTAATAGAAAATAAGTTACAGATAAAAAATGAAAAACACGAACTCTAAGCTCGAAAGCGAGGTGCCATTTCAGTGAGAGCCACACATTTATTGATATGGGATTCCTGTTCTGAAAGTTTGGTAAATATCTACATGTTCACCGAAATTTGTAGGGCAGAGTAATTACTAGTGCAACACTCGTGGGGTGACAAACAAGACAAGTACCAAAGTTGAACAGGTTTCATGGGATTAAATCAAATTCACGAGCTATTGTTGATTCAATTTCTCTATGATTTTGGAATGAGTAAAAAATATCTACTAATTTTTAATGTGCGTCCATTCTTGATGTTTCTAGTAGAAGTCTTTCGTTGGTGAAGTATCTTTTTTCCTGCAAATAGTACACTGCATGAAGCAAAACGTGCATTAATTATAAATACCTCAAATTCGAAAACACCATTCAAGGAGAGCTTAGCATTGAACTAGAGTCAAATATAGGAACTGGACACAAAGTTAAACGTTCTCAACAAGGAGCACGGTGTACCATCTAAGCCTGCTTCTTGTTGAGAACTTTTAGAATAATTAGGAGCTTCTTAGTTAGAATAACCCCACATACTATACTAGGCAAAAATGCAATGAAAACAATTTTAAAATCATAAGAAACATAAACTTCGATATCAAAGACTTAAGTCTGACTATCAACGAAATTTTTTTTTATGATACAGAACAGTACTACAACACAAAATCTGTGTAGATTGGCAATAGAAAAGCACAAAAAATGTATCCATTATATTATCTGTGAAGAGAATGTATGTCGAGGATTGCAGTCACAAACACTAATAAAACTGAAATCTTAATGATCCTGCTTAATGTACCCAACCCAACGTTCCATAATATAAACTTGTACAAACTAAACATGATATAAACCTGGTGTTCAAGTAGCAGGGATGATTTCAAACTATAAGAATCTAAAGGCCATGAATTATGTATACCTTCTTGTACTAAAAATAGTTAATGGCCCTGGAACATTTCCGGCTCCAGAATGTCAACATCAAATTAAAGATGAACGAGAGAGTTTTAGAGAGATGATTAACGCCTCTTAAGATGGATTCATAAAAGAGCTCTTTAAACTTGTTTGAATGGGTTAGGAACAGGATCCAAGTATCAAGCAAAGAGCTCAAACCCCAATTCTCATATGATTGAAGTTAGATAGAAGTGGATAGACCTACTTACCATTTCTCTAGTAAAGAACACGAGAGGATTTTTACGAAAATAATTCACATGGATAATAATTTCCCCTTCAATACAATAAAAGACGGGTTAACACATTCCTAATATTTCATCAAGTTGGAACTGAAAGCATGAACTATCCCCATGCCATAAACAATAATACTACTGTCTTTCAAATATGGAAATGCTTGGAATGAAATTTGTGTGCAATGCATATAAATGCTACGTCATCACTTCTTTCTGTAGTAAAACTTTCCAAGATAGACAAAGAAATATAAAACTCTGTCAATGCCCCACGGTAAGAGTCCGTTTGGTACACATTAAAATGAGATAATGCATTTTTTTTGAAGTGATGTGATGGAGAATATGTGGTTGAAAAAGAAGGAAAAATTGTTGATGTGATGGAAAATATTATTTTATTGAAGAATGTGTGGTTGAAAATGAGAATTGATTTACTGTAGAAAAATTTAATCCCTCCCAAACAGGGCCTAAGACTAGAGGTTCTTGAATTAAGCTATCAGTATATGTGGTTGAAAAAGAAGGAAAAATTGTTGATGTGATGGAAAATATTATTTTATTGAAGAATGTGTGGTTGAAAATGAGTAGAAGAATGAGAATGAAAAAAATAATGTGACCCAAACAGGGGCTAAATCAGGATTTTGGACTCTGAAAAATTTGGCATTACCATTCTACCAAAATGCTTAACTTCTAATAAAACCATTATCTACCTAATCATTTTTTTTATTTGGTTCTTTCCCAAGACATAATACAAAAGGAAGAAATGTGTCTTGGATTCAGGCAGTACCAAGCATTTCTATGTCAAACACAAATTATAAATTATTTTGAACATGTTAAGTAAGGAAATCCAAAATATATGAAATACTCCCTTCTGAGAAAATTAATATGCTTCAGGCCACGTTTAAGATCCCCATAATTCAGAATTACACGAATCTTTGTTAACAGTATTATAACCAAGACGCTCATCGAAACAAAAATAAAGTGCTCATAATTCAGGGATTAGCAGTTATGCAGAAGATTCTGGAGCAGGGATCGGTTGATGATTTACGACCAAGGGCGGACGCAGAGCTCGATGACTCGCTTCTTTTTGTTTCCTCGCATTGTACATTTCCTCCGTCTCAACAACAATCAATCTTTTCACCTACAAGTAACATAGCGAAAAAAAAGGTCAGTCTAAACTGAAAGAATTAACCAAGATTAAATTTTTATCACAATTGAAACAAACTACGCTAATCTGGGCATATAACACCTGCTGGATCATTCCCCTGACAGTAGGCGTATTCCACCGCATGACAGTCCGGTTGCATTTCGTGAGTCGTAAAGCCTCTAACGTCCGCCGGTGGAGCCTCCTTGTGCCCGGAATGCCCCTCACTAGGGTTATGTACAGGTTAGGGCTCCACGCTACAGGAACATTAGCTTTGAAAGCGTTGAAAGCACTCATATAGTTCTTCTTTTTAAGCTTTATCCATGTAGTGTAATTTATCAGTAAATTTTCATCAAGAAATCAAATGAATGATACAAATTAGCTAATGAAATGGCAAACCTGGGAATATGAAAGATTGGTCCCGCTGTATTCAATGGAACGAAGATAAAGATAGGAGACAATGGGCAAAGGGTTTTTGCATACGGTAGTAGGACAGAAGGTCGCACGACGTCGTAGGTTTCTTCTTAATTTGTGGGCTGAAACCCATAAGTATTTGTTTCGTACTGGTCCAATATTTTTTAAATGGGCTTTCATACAAGCCCAGTCCTTTCCCCTACTTTTTCTTCTCTTTTCCCAAGGATTTTTAAATCGTCTAATATCGGGAAAAAATCACAAATACCTTGGGGTATGTTTGTCTCCCATTATTGGGAGAAAAATAGAGTAATGAATAGTATTTTTTGGAAAATGTGTGGTTGAAATTTAAAGTAATTTTATTGGTTTGTGTATAGAATATTTTATTGGGTGAATGTGTGGTGGAGAATCTTACTGTAGCAAACAGTTTTTTGGAATAATGGTAGACAAACATGGGCTTAATTGCGAATGCTGAATACGTAGGAATTCAAATTCAAATCGAGAAATTGGTGATATGGTAAGAGCAACAATGGTGAAATTGATTAATCCAACTTTGCGTCCGTGATAAAATCGACTCATCACTCATGTAGAATTTCATCATGTGTTACATCTAGGTTGCGATTTCTCACGACCTGTTTCACATACGAAAATCATTTGAAAAAATCATTATTCAATGAGTATAGGTAATTTCTTCGAACTCCAAATTCCTACAGTGTATTTGTCTTTTTTATGTAGTCTTACATTCAAATTTTTTAACGACTTATTTTGTTTGATGTTGCTGAATTCCTCATAAATCAATTTCAGTTTAAAAAGATGTTTTGTCTTTTCGAGGTTGGCTTCCTTAAAAAAAAAAAAAAAGGAAGAAAATTTAGCTTGTGTTCATGATGAATGGATATTCAAGAAAATACGGAATTTATTAATAGTTATTAGTTGGTTATATATAATTATGTAATCTTGCAGCTCTTCCAAGAAATGTAATCCTCAATGAAAAATTCATGGAAATTACATACCAACTTCCAAAATCTCAATCTTCATATTTAATGATTGATGTCTCAACTTTGTGGATTTTTTTACTTTCTTTGGATCATCATATGCTAGAATTTGCAGCTAGCTCAAAGTAATACATATTGAATTATGTTCGGTATTGTATACATTGTCTACGAAATACGTCAAAAACCAAAATCTTCTTAGTAATGATTGATGTTTCAAATGAAATATTTATATTACAAGATGGTGATGGTTTTAAAATTTTGTTAGGGTTTTTATAGATGCAAAACAATCTCCAAAATGACTAAATTGGAGATTGCATAATGAATTTTTGGACCTAAATCGTGGAGGAAAAAGAAAATGTAGTATCAAGAAAATCGATTTGAAAGTGTACGATGATTTCTTGAGATTGATTTGGTGGGGTTTGATATCTTTGAAATATTGAAGAAGAGAGAGATTCGGGTTTTTGTTTATCTTTGGAATATTAGCAAGAGGTCATTTGGGGATTAATTGAGTGATTCTGGGTTGGCTATTGGGTGGGCGATAAGGCTTGTTTGGTGGAGTGATGATAGCATGTGTATTGATTAATTTTGAAGAGTAAAGCAATTTTTTTGCTGATAAAATTACTGCATAAATTAAATTATTTTCGGATTAAGATAATATGAACATGATTTTTAAAGGTGATATTGGGTGAAATTTCCTCTTTAATATTTACAATTTTAAATAGTATTGATGTTGGGTTTGATCCAAATTTGTTAAATAAAAGAAGTCTATTATGAAGAGGAAAATAAAATTCTTGATTGACAATGAAAAGAGAGAAACAAAAGTTTTAAGGAAATAATATTTGAACAGAAGAAAGGAGGACATTTATGTTTCAAAATTCACAATATTCTGACCTTTTTTTTTTTTTTTTTCTTTTTCTGGAACTTCTAGTGGAAATGAAAGTTGAACCATGCTCATGCCGCCCAATCAACGAACACATCTGAATACCAAATGCAAGTGGAAGGTTGGCTGAATCGAGGCTAGGGTTGTTTCCGTCCCACCATTAAACTTCTCGCAA